TATAAACTACATCTCCCATAATGCATGTTGATTAGTTTACCCTTGAAATGACAGCATCCCATCACTAGGTGGAGGTGCAGAGGGTTCAAAAGCAACTGTGTAAAATCTCCATTTCGATGTATTTTTAGCTGGCTATTTTCCCCAGATGTACTGGGAAGTGGGAATTTCCCACTTACATGTTGTGACTTTAAACTGGAATGCCCCTTCCAGTAGGAAATCCCTATTAGAAAGTGGTAGAGTTCAGAATTCAAGATGGCAGTTATACTTACCACAACTCAACAGTGAGTAAAACCCTCTTACTTTCATTTTTTATTGTACTTCTGTATTATTTATTTCACATTTAGTCAGTTGTACACGTAGTAGTTTTTAGTTTTTCTAAGAGGACGAGTTAAAATGCTATTTCTATGCAAGAAATACCACATAGAGCTCAGTTTGTTGGCTGCCTCTATAGGGCTGTGTGTGTGATGTTACCAAGTGCTTTTCCAAGCACATGCCTAATCCACCTCTACCTTCTCCAGATGATGATGGTCTCTGTGCTGTCTTGACAAGTAGTGAGCAGTTTGAGATGTTGTTAGGTCAAACGTCTTCTCAGTATTGTGGAAAACAAAGAGCTTAAGATCACTGGCAGTCATGTTCCAGCACTCTGATCCATATAACAGACAGTGCGCAGCTCAGGTACAGCTTTAGCTTGGTCTCAGACTTTTGAGACCACCAAACATTGCAAAGCATTTCAAGGGCATTTCTGGCTTTACTTAGTTCTGGACATCACTGACTTCATTTGAAATCATTTGACTTCATCAAATCTAAGTAGGTAAACCCCTCAGTCATGGGAGGAATGGTTGACTAAAAGCATCTTGGTTCTTGATTAGGAATAACTAATAGTGGCCAATGACCAATGAATATTGTTGATTTCCATAATCTTATTTCATGGATTTTTCACAAATCTTTGAAATTATATATTTAATTCCAAAAACTTTAATTATTGATGTGTTTAAATACTTTTAACTTTTAAAACAACATGGTTGAGAAACACTGAACTTCCCAAATGTACTGTAGGTTTATATCACTAAATCCACAACATTTCATCCGGAATTAGACTCTTGTTGACTGAATTTATTTTAATGCCAGAGGGCAAAGCATTTCCAGTCTGAACGGATCAGCGCATACCTCCAGTAAGTAGACTTGTTGATGACTCACAGGGACTTGATCCTGTCTGTTGCCTCTTGTCCACGTAATTGACAATTATTCAAACGTTATGTTTATGTGCAGTAAATACAGGGGTTTGCTCACAGTATTTGTCTGACAAGAACATCATCCTGTTTCGTTTAGCCTCTTTAGTTAGTATGGCTACATTTAACAGTGAGTTTATTACAGATTTATGATGTACTCAGCTTCTAGCTTGTTACTTACTGCAGGTTTAAACATCACAATTTAAATCCTTTTTTAACTTATCACAAATGTTTGATCTCATTATGTTAATTTTGCCTTTTATGTCTAAAAATTAGTTAAGTTTAGCTCGATATCTGTAAAATGGGCTAAATGATTGCCATTTTTGAGTTTTCTAAATTCAGATGAATATGGCATCAATCTTGAATTGGGTTGGCTCTAAAGGTTATCAGTTGTACAGATGCTGATGATTTTCTGCAAGTTTCATTAAAAATGTTTCTAGGCATTCATCAGATATTTTGCTAACAGACAGATTGAATTAACTCAAAATTGTTCAGAGTGGCACAATGGCTCAGTTGGTAGAGCTGATGCATTTCAGCAAGAAGGTCGCCGAATCAAATCCCAACCCAGGGATCTATCTGGGTAGAGTCTCTTCATGTATGTGTGGGGTGCTCCAGGTACTCCAGCTTCCTCCCACACACCAAAAACACGACATTTTGGTTAATTGGTGACTCTAAAATTGTCCTTAGGGTGTGAGTGAGAGAGGTTGTTTGTCTCTTTTGTCTCTATGTGGCCCTGTGATGGACATGCAACCTGTCCAGGGTGTACCCTGCGCCTTGCACAGTGACTGGGCATCAGTGACCCATGCGACCCTGAAGTGGGTATAGATGATGGATGGATACTTTATGGCAAACAGACACACAAATACACACACAGACACTGGCAAAAACATTATTAGCAGATGAACATCAAACCTGTTGTTTGCTTCAAAAATGACAGCATGTATCTGACTCAATCTGGACCCACAGTCAGACAAGTCCTGGAGCCGTTTGAGTCGATACAAGTGAAACTGTGGCCCAAACTGTGGCGCTGCTGAAATACAAGAGTTCATTTTCTCAATGCCTCATGCTGCTTAAGAATGCACCATCCCAGATTCCTTTTAAGCCACATCAGAACACAGATTTTCCCCGAACAAAACTGCTTTTTTTTATCTTTGTCCTTTCAAGAAACGGGTCAGTGAGCAACAAGCATTCCTTCCTTTGTTCAGGTCGCACCTGTTGTCTCGGAGGTGCACGTCTACATGGGCTTGGCTTTTGTCCCTAAGTCGCGAAATTCACCCCGTCACTTCCCCCCACCGAGTCAAACACATTTCAGTCGTTTTCCCTTTGAGGACTGAGGATATTTTATCTTTTCTCTGCCTTTTCATTTCCTGGGTCTTGCATGACAAATCAAGGCAGTGTCTGGCTGACAGTCTAGTGCTGGACTTTGTGGGACTGGGACCTGAAACCTTTCAGTTGAGGCCACAGAACATAAAAAGTTTCTTGGGAGGAATCAGATTTCATACGGGAGCGAGTTGGAGCTCTGCTGTTATTTTGATGTGTTCACTTATCAATTAGATCTTATCTCAGTTGTTTTCATGCATTTTTTGCATTTAAACATGGCAGGAAAGTTAGATTCATGTGAATTCTGCTATGTGCCAAACAACAATTCAGTAATAGTATTTTCTCCCTTGCTGTGTGTGTGGTATTGAGGATAACTGCCTGTCATCTTGTTATGCTGATGCCCAGTAGCTGTCTGCGTATGAGGAGTTGCATCAGACCACCCAGTAGGAATGCCGGTGGGTCTCGAGGGATGACAGTATATACTATTGGCATATTTATGTGTGTGGTGAGAAAGTTTTTTAAGGAGTTCTGGCTCTGAACAAGCTAAACTGAGAAAGTGTTTTGTAGGAACAACATTTAACTTTAATTTGTCTGCCTTTATGTGTCATGGGTTGGAGGTTTAACCAGTAGTTAACACTTAGTCACCACCTCGTCTCATCACAGCTTATCATACACACTGTTTGTCTAAGATGCTTTAAATGTTTCTGAACTTCCACGATGTTGTTTTCTGATTTGCACTTCAAAACAGGCTGGTTTTAACCGTCCATCCATTATCGCTTATTCCAGAGTTGGGTTTTAGGGGCAGCAGCTTGAGCGGGTATAGGCCCAGACCTCTCTTTCCCCAGCAACCTCTTCCAGGTCTTCTGGGAGGATTCCAAGGTGTTCCCAGGCCAGTTCCGAGACATAGTCTGTCTAGCATGTCCTAGGTCTTCCTCAGGGTCTCAACCCAGTTGGACATGCCTGAAATCCCTCTCTAGAGAGGTGTACAGGGAGTATCCTTACCACCTCAACTGTCTCCTCTCAATGTGGAGGAGCAGCGGCTCTACTCTGAATCTGTCCTGGATAACTCAACTTCTCACTCTATCTCTAAGGGAGAGTCCAGCTACCCTCCGGAGAAAACTAATTTCGACCACTTGTACCCATGATCGTGTTTTTTCTCTCTCACTACCTAAAGTTTGTAGCCATTGGTGAAGGTAGGAATCTAGACTGATCAGTCAACAGAGAGATTTGCCTTACAGCTCTTCAACACAACAGACCTGTACAGAGTCCATAGGAGAGTAGAATGTGGTTGGTTGTCACAGTTGCTAAATCTCTCCCCCTAGAGGGCGCTGTTACAAAAGGCCTGTGTGTGAGTTTCCACATTATTTGTAATAAATTAGCTACTTTTTATCTTAGCAGTTTAACACTCGTTGTCGTGTTACAAGGACTTATTGTGTTTTTCACTTCATAATGTAACTTTTGATTATTTTATGTTCGTTTTTTTATTGCCTTCATACAATGGTTTTAAAATTAAAACCTTATTAGCATTTAAAAGTACAAAGGAAGAGCTGCAGTTAAATTATATAACATGTTATAACATGTGCTAGCTAGCACTGTGGAAGCCACACCCATCTGTCAATCAATGCTCTATTTTCCCTCACTTGTGAACAAAATCCCAAGATAAAGCTGATTATATTTCCTTTTTTAAATTAATATTTTTATTACCACATTAGCCTACAGTTATACACAATCCCAATTAAGGAAAAAGTTGGGACAATGTATAAAATGTACAAAATTCTCCCCCATTGAGAATCATTATTCTGAAATAGTTTTCATTTCATTCATTTGTAGCACTTACTTTTATAGCCTTTTGTTGACCCTGTTCTGTTTCTTTTGAGATGCGTTGTTGCCATCAAGTTCAAAATTACTATTTTTTTGCACTAAATTGATACAATTTTTATATCAATGTTTACTATGTCCCACTGGTGACAAAATATGTTTTTATTTTTAGATTTGCAAATCACTGCATTCTGTTTTTATATTTCATACAACATCCCAACTTTTTCAGAACTGAGGTTTTAAGTTAAGTTTGATAGAAAGCGTTTTTACTTGTTTGCGTTGGAGTTGGTGGAAAAAACACATTGAAGCCATTTGTTCCTCTCTTAAATACTCGTAGAAGCATACTTCCCCTCACAAGAAGCCGTGTTGTTAGTAGAAGATACGATCTGTGCTTCTCTCTTCACCCCCTGAGCTGCTGAATAGAAGCCCTCTTTATTTAATGGCCTGCGCTTCGTTTGAACATGCGTGTTTATGCCCACATGTGTTTTGTGTGACCGTGTCAACGATCACAGACTTCACACGTTACCAAGTTGTAGCTCAGACTAGTTCATCGTGTGCCCGTATTTTCTCTTACACCAGGTATTGCCTTTGTGCAGCACCCTCTCACCGTCTGTGTGTGTGTGTTCATTGCAGACATAGATGAATGCGCAACAAGCAGACACACTTGTGGGCCTGAACAGACGTGCTTTAACACCAGAGGCTCCTTTACGTGCCAATGTCCTCTCGGCTACCAGAAGAGCGGAGACCGTTGTATCGGTGAGCGTAATGCAAAACACACTCTCCTCTCGCATTGTTTCACAATGGTCGCGGTATAAAAAAAAGTTGTTTTTTTGTGATGAACTTTTCCTGCAGACAGAGACGAGTGTGGCCTGAGTCACTACTGCATGCAAAGGTGTGTGAATACCCGGGGTTCTTACTACTGTGAGTGCAACAACGGGTACAAATTGGCCAACGACAATCACACCTGTGTTGGTAAGTCACAAAAACAAGACTGTGTAGTCACGGTTCAGTAGTTGCATTTCCAGAAAGTTTAAGAAATAAATTTCAACAAAAATGTATAAAAGAAACCATCCATCATAGGTCTGTAATAGGTTAGAGTCTAAATAAATTCACAATGTGTACCTGTCATAAACACACACTCTTTTATCAGACACTAAAATAAATTTCAGCAGATTGTGACACTTATTATGCTCATCACATCAATGCGTGTGAAATATCTGCTTCTGTTCCAGATATCAATGAGTGTGAGGTGGAGAGCCCCTGTCAGCATCACTGCTACAACCTGATTGGCTCCTTTCTGTGTCAGTGCGATCATGGCTTTGAGTTGGCAGCGGACACGGTAACCTGCCAAGGTAAAAACTGAAAAACGGACATTTGGTTTTTGGATAAATCAGTGGTTTTCAACCTGGGTTTGTGTAAAATAAAATCACGCAAACAAGTCCATTATAATAATAAGACACTGTAAATCTCAGTTCTTCCTTTTTATTCCCCGTTCTCAAATAAAAGTTTGTAACTATTTACTTCATTATTTTATTATTTTGATAAAGAGATAAAGTTTGAACTGGGAGAGGTGGGGCATTGCGAGGGATTTGGGGGGCTCTGCTTGGAAGTAAGAAAGGAAAATAGGTTGGAAACCACTGAAATAAAGGCATTCCTATGTGAACGTGTGTTTTGTCCCACTACATGCATGTAATCTGTGTTTTTTTTGTGTTTTTAATAGACGTCGATGAATGCAGCTTGTCCAGCTACATGTGTCAGTATCAGTGTGTTAACAACCCTGGAAGTTACACCTGTGAGTGCCCACAGGGATACCAGCTGCAAGCAAGCAGGTTGTGTCAAGGTACTGCAGTCCTCCTCTTTTCCTCCACAAATCATTTTGTTGTGCCCCCCCCCACCCCCCCACCCTTTGATTTTAATTACCTGTCCTCCTTTCTCCTAATAAAATTTTTGAAGATCAGTTTTAAAAGAAGCTTGGTAATCACTGATATCGTCTGCTACTTTACTCCTGAAGCAGAACTGAAAGTTGCTCTCAACCTGCATGAAAAAAAAAATGCAGATGTTTGTGTTTTCCCCTGTGAAGTTCTTTGAAATTATGGACCTGATGCTGGTTTCTTGAAGTGGATTTATTTGAACTCTCAAAGGGAGAGCTGTTATTTTTTTCCTCTCAGTCAGGTGCGGGCTTTACAGGGGCACGATGAATCCAGCCTGTTGGGTCAGAGGGACGTTCTGGTGATGAATCCAAGTTGCTGTGCCAGAAATAGCGTTGTGGTTTGGGGCACATTTGATGGGGGTATTTTCATGGG